CCCAAGGTCCCGTCCCTACCTCTTCTCTGCCTCCTCTACGGAGCAGGGAGTACGCTGTCACTTGTCCCCCTCCCCCTCGCAAGGGTGATCAGCTGATCGGTGCAGGGAGAGGGAGGGGGAGGAGGAGGGGCAGGAAAGCACCACGCTGAGGGAAGAAGCGGGGAGAGGGGAAGCTTGGCTGCTGCAGGACCAAGCTTCTGCCTCCTGCCCCCGCAGGGGAGAGCGGTGGGCGGGGGGGGGCTGAGTGGGGCCGGGGGCCGGGACCTCGGCAGCATTCCACTCAAAATCGGCTTGCGTGCCGTGTTTGGCACGTGTACTGTAGGTTGCCGAACGCTGTTCTATCCTCATGCATAAGCTGGGCAGGGATGCCATTCTCCCAGTTGATAGGGCTTGGCATCACTTCAATTACAATCACTCTTGGCCCACTTGGAGAGAGGCACAACTTCTGGTCTGCCTCTATGATTATTCATAAAGCGCTTAGTCATACGCTTCCATGCGCACCCAAAACTCCCCTCAGAATCAATGAATTTTGAGTGCACCACGAATGCAGGATTGAGAACACAGGATATATGCTGCAGTCATAAAAATTTCCATTTTAAAAAATGTACATAAACGTGAGGCATCCTAACTAGCCTTAAAATTACAGTCAGTAAATACACAATACACTCAGAAAAATCCACCTCCAGCTGGAAACCACAGCACCAAACCCATTCAAAAGCCCATATCTGCCGCCCTCCTCAGAAGCCCTTTCAAATGCTTTTGCAGCATGTTCTGAAATTCAACATATCTATGCTATTTCTGAGTATATTAATAATCATACAGTCTAGAGAGAGAGATACAATCATAGAAAAAAGGATGACTGAAGATACATTACTAATATTTCTTCAATATCTTTCAAATTATTTCAAGAGTTTTGCCCAGCAGCACACTTCCCAACTGCCAACAGTTCAAAACTTTATGACTCTTTGTTAAAAAGAAGTTAATTTGTTCAGGTAAATTGTGAGAGCAGAACATTAAGATACAATAAAAGGAGATCCCAAAATAACATTACCATGCATGTGATCCAGAGCTCCATATACATATCTTAGTAAGTGAGCAATGCAAATGTACTCTTTTTGTCATATGCTAAGGAAAATTCAATCTGAAGGAGGAAAGACAGGCACACCCAAGGGCAACCAGACAAGCAGGAAGGCACACCCAGGCTGATACAGATAGAAAAATTACTCACAAATGAAGGGACAGACGCAACAGCCAATATTAGACTGCACTAGGGCACTGTGATGGCATTAAAGATAGGAACTAAAGTTAATTGATGTGAATGGTATTTTGTTTCCCAGCCCAGAGTATCAGCCCAATATCTTGTTGATGCTTTTGACTTCTGTCAGGTTTTGAAATACACTGGATAAAATCACAGCTGTGGCTAGTCTTATAAGCTTGTGAGAAATTTAATTTTGATCCCTGGAATTTCTGCTGGACCCTCATACAGCTGAAACACCCACATATCCGGATATCAAGTCAGCACCCATAAATAAATCTTTCCTGATTTGAGAAGGTGACAGGCTCTCACATTTTTCAATAGAAGCCATATACACGGTCTTTAACATTAATGTTTTGCCATAGTGTTTCTACACCCAACATTTCTCAAGGCCCTTTGTTTTCAGGTTTTATTTTATTTAAAATTTCCTGGGAACTTTTCAGTGTTTATTGCAAAAATTTGAAAACAGGTGAAAACCAATGCAAAAAGTTAACTTCACAGTTTTCTGGGTAAATATCAAGGTTAATACTGGGGGATGGGAGGACAGAAAAAAGCAACAAATAGAGAAAAGTAAGAATATTGAAAGTAAAAACAGTTTACTGCTGTGGTTTATCTAATGAACTGTACCTTAACGGTAAGTACACATATGCAGGTGGATGCATGTGTGTGTATATTCCATACATTGCCTTACTTTAACAGACTGCCTCTTATTAACATTGAAACTAATTAATATTATGTATTGGATTGTCTTAACATAATCAGTATTTTCATGTATTTGACTAGTCCAAAATTCACTTGCAAATCAGTAAAAACCAAATTATAGCTTTTGTAAAACTCAGGAATTTTTTAGTAAAAATCCATAAAAACTGAAAACGAAGGGCCTTGTATATTTCACATTTTAATCTTCCCTAAATATTTTACTAAAAATCAACAGCATATTTAGCTGTGTGTAGGACAATTTAGCAAAGGAATATTGTCCTTTGCTAAATTGTCCTACACATATCTAATAGCAGATTTAGTGTCTCTAGCCCAGAGGCGTATTAGGAAGCTTTCACATTGAGGCATATGGTATTGCATCCTATCCAGCCTAAGGTGTCCATAGAATGGAAAATCATTCAGACGCTTCTCTTGCCAGATATAGTGGGCTCCATATTGTACTGATCAGCAATTTATGATATTAGGAGAATATGGACCAATCTGGTAGAAATCAAAAATGTAAATCTCTATTGCATGCTGAGGCAATACTCTGAGATAACTCATATTTTCTTGTAGGGGTCATGGCTGTGGAAGAGACATCCTTCAGATCTTTTACAGATCTTACCCAGAAGCCCCGGTTTTGGCACGATCTGTGGCCATGCCACTAGCTTCTTTTGGACCAGCCTTGACAGCAGCCACCTCTCTATGAACATTTCTAAAGGAAATGGGGTCCTTTATGAGACAAACCTCAGACATCTATACCTTTCTTCAGTCCTCCATGAGGCCAAGTTAGAATTATTGAAGGCCATTCATAAGCCACAGGTTTGAAAGTTAAAATATCCTCTGGTCAGTGGTGCTGAATCTGCCTTAAAAGATCCTCATTAGTACAGCTGGTCAAAAATCTGGAAATCAAATCAATTAAAAAAATGGACACTTGGAAGTGGTTTCCTTTTTATGGGCTTTAGATTTTCCATTTTTCATGAAATTTTCCATGATATTTTCTACTAAAGTTTTTATCGAAATGGTTTTCACAATCACTATTGAAATTGTACTGGTTTTCAATAAATGATTATTTAAATTTAAAATATCAATTTAAATGTTGCATATTTTTTGCAAAAATTGGAAAAATGTCAAAATAAATGTTGACAGTTTTTCATGAAAAGTTTTTTTTTCAATCAAAGGTAATTTTTGACAATAACATTTTTCTTGCCAGAAATTTCTACCAGTTCTACTCATTAGAACTTTGCCACTGACTCATCTTATTATTTAGTATTTACATTAGAAATTGGGACACGATTGTGCTAGATGCTGCACAACCACACAGAAAGACAATGTCTCTGCCTCTTGTTAAAGATGTCAGACCCTGTGTTCTTTGGTATGTGTTCTGGGGATGCATCTGGTTACTAATGGGTTCTGGGAGGATACACATGCTAGCATTACTTTTCAAGTGACTATTCCATTTACAACTATTTCTCTTTTATCAGAAGAAATACCTAAATCATTCAGATTCACAGGATCAGCAAAGAGCTGATGCCTACAGGCTACTTTAATGTTAAGAAACATGGTATCACAATTCTGGAAAGCATTAATAGCTCCATGGACAGAGCTGTAGTCTATCCAAGCTCGTGCCTCTGGGGAGAGTGGCTTATAAAAAACCCAACAAACTGGGGGACTTAGAGGACGTATGGTTGTTATTTTGGTTGTTATACAGAATAACTGTTGAGCATAATTGATCTACCCTACTGGGATACAAACATTGATAATGTTACGAATGCTGACATGCTAGTGTCTTGAATTGATATATTTTAAATGTTTCTAGGGTCTTCCCTTCCATTTCATCCTCCTTTCCTGGCAAACTGGTTGAAACTATAGTAAAGAACAAAATTGTCAGACACATAGATGAGCATAATTTGTTGAGGAAGAGTCAACCCGTTTTTTGTAAAGGGAAATCATGCCTCATCAATCTACTAGAATTCTTTGAGGAGGTCAACAAGCATTTGGACAAGAGGGATCCGGTGGATATAGTGTACTTAGATTTTCAGAAAGCCTTTGACAAGGTCCCTCACCAAAGGCTCTTAAGCAAAGTAAGCTGTTATTGAATAAGAGAGAAGGTACTCTCATGGATTGGTAACTGGTTAAAAGATAGGAAACAAAGGAAAGGAATAAATGGTCAGTTTTCAGAATGGAGAGAAGTAAATAGTGGTGTCCCCCAGGGATCTGTACTGGGAACAGTCCTAGTCAACATATTCATAAATGATCTGGGAAAAGGGGTAAACAGTGAGGTGGCAAAATTTGCAGATGATACAAAACTACTCAAGATAGTTAAGTCCCAGGCAGACTGCGAAGAGCTGCAAAAGAATCTCTCAAAACTGGGTGATGGGGCAACAAAATGACAGATGAAATTCAATGTTGATAAATGCAAAGTAATGCACATTGGAAAACATAATCCCAACTATACATATAAAATAACGGGGTCTAAATTAGCTGTTACCACTCAAGAAAGAGATCTTGGAGTCATTGTGGATAGTTCTCTGAAAACATCCATTCAATGTGCAGCGGCAGTCAAAAAAGCAAACAGAATGTTGGGAATCATTAAGAAAGGGATAGATAATAAGACAGAAAATATCATATTGCCCCTATATAAATCCACATCTTAAATACTGCGTGCAGATGTGGTTGCACCATCTCAAAAAAGATATATTGGAATTGGAAAATGTTCAGAAAAGGGCAACAAAAATGATTAGTGGTATGGAATGGCTTCCATATAAGGAGCGATTAATAAGACTGGGACTTTTCACCTTGGAAAAGAGACGACTAAGGGATGATATGATTGAGGTCTATAAAATCATGACTGGTGTGGAGAAAGTAAGTAAGGAAGTGTTATTTACTCCTTCTCATAACACAAGAACTAGGGGTCACCAAATGAAATTAATATGCAACAGGTTTAAAACAAACACAAGAAAGTATTTTTTCATGCAACGCACTGTCAACCTCTGGAACTCCTTGCCAGAGGGTGTTGTGAAGGCCAATACTATAATGGGGTTCAAAAGGGAGCTAGTTAGATTCATGGAAGATAGGTCCATCAATGGCTATTAGCCAGGATGAGCAGGGATGATGTCCCTAGCCTCTGTTTGCCAGAAGCTGGGAATGGGTGATGACAGGGGATTGATCTCTTGATAATTGCCTGTTCTGTTCATTCCCTCGGGGGCACCTGGCACTGGCCACTGTCGAAAGACAAGATACTGGGCTAGATGGACTTTGATCTAATCCAGTATCGCAGCTCTTCTGTTCTTTTCCATCTAGCTTTTCCTATACTAGTAAATCCTGCTGTGATTGACAAAGTGTGTCCTACACAGCCTTTCTTCCCTCGAGCATTGTTGGAAATGGCTGTCTTGCTGGTGTGGACCGTGTCCAATGTGTTCAACACCTATTGCAAAGAAAGTGTGGTTGACATGCTAGGACTATCTTCTCCTTTCCCCAGCAAAGTAAATATTCTAAATTCAGTGGCATACACTGGTTTGGTTTAAATCAAACTACAATCAAATGTATCTAAAAGGAGATTACGCGAGTAATTTGAATTGACATTGGACAGTATTGCCACTGGATGGCTAAATGTGACTCAATAGGAATTTTCCATCCTTAATTTGGGTTTTTTCACACACACATTTCACCTCTGACTTCTATGATTAAGACACACACTGTCCATCTCCAGTTTCCAAGTTACACAAAAACAGGTCCTCCACCTCTGATTTCTAAATCAGAGAGTATTTTTAATTATGGGGTGCCTAATTTGAGACAACAGAAAGTGCTGAACACCTGCCTCTGCAAGTCAGGCCCTTTGAAGATGTTTCAAGGGGAGTACTGTGATTTTTGAATGCCTAGGGTTAGCAATACTGAATTACACACACACACTGTCTCATTTCTACGTGATACATCATGCAAACACCAAATCTGACTGAGCGAAAGGAGTTCTAACACTCAGCTCAGTAAAAAGCAACAGAGTCCTAACAGTCTTAAAGGTGCCACAGGACTCTCTGTTGCTTTTTACAGATCCAGACTAACACGGCTACCCCTCTGATACTTGACTCAGCTCAGTGGCATTTCTCTATTTATCTAATGCAATAATTTTGACATGCCACATCCAAACAATTCCAAAATGTCCTGAAATGGTCTAAGCATAATGGGAGCCAGTGGATTTGGTGATGGGGCAAAGTAGAGACTTGGAGTGGGGGGAGTGGGTGTGTGCAGGGCAAAGCAGGGAATCCCAAGGGAATGAGGGAGGGAAAGCCGGGACCCAGTGGGGGGAGTGGAGGTGGGGAGGGGAAAACGGGGTCTTTGGGAACGGAGAGGAGAAAGTGGAAATGGGGAGGGGAAAATAGGAACGGGGGGAACACAGAGCGCTTGGCATAAGTCCCTGAAATGGGAGGAGGGAAGGGGGCACACAGGCAGCTTTGGAGGGGAGAGAAATGGCAGAATACCGGGAGGCCCTAGAGG